TCCCCAGGTGCCCCCTAGAAGCTTAACCCTAGTTATGTTGCTGGTACCTTAAAGAAAGTTCCAGATCGCGTACATTTCACTCCCATAGAATGTGTGATATTTATAAGTTATCTATAGGTGTGGTGGGTACTTGAATGCACCCTGGTTTTTTGTGCTCGCAATACGTGGTACTAGACCTCAACAAGCCTGACTAATTTTCTAAGGTCATAGGGGTGCACACCAGTAAATCGGTCCGAAATTGCCTACGCCGGCCAAATCACGATTTGCATGCCCTCAAAATCTTCAGTATTTGAGCATGCTGTGGGCCATGAACTTGAGGGTTTGTAAAAAATATGGGTGGAAGCCGTGCACAGGACTGGGAGCTTGGACCCTAAAAGCGCGCTATTTTGCAATGGAGTGTAGGCATCATTTTTCAAAATGGCGATGGGCTTCAGGACTATTTTCAGGGGTGATCATCTTCAGATGGAAATTTCTCCTAAAAGTCATCAGTTGACCCCCCGAAAATTGAAAAGAAAATGAAAGATGATGAAATAAGCTTTCATTTGATGTGTGTCTGGAACACCTTGGAGAGTTGTGAGTATTTTTCCCAAATTTCTGAAGTGGGAGCTTTTACCATTGGGGTCTATGGAAGTTTATTTACTGGTCTGCTACCATAGTTACATTCTCAATATATTTTGAGAGCACGTTAACAATATTCAAACGCGGTCAATCAGGAGATAAAAAAATCAAGAGAAAATGTGTTCACAAATCTGATTACTTGATAATCCCCTCTACCATTATGTACAAATATATATGTTGGGGAAACCACTGATATTATGTTTTAGTCGAAAACAAAATGGTCTTAAATGTAAACAAACGACAACTGAGAAAAGACGGTTGTTTCATGAAATCATTGTTGCTACATGTATGTTCTCAGAAAACGTTTTTAAAAATGTCTTCGACAAAATATACAGTGAATGAACTAACTAGTGAAACAATAACAACGGCTTCCAAATTAAGTGGTCTATAAATGATAAAATACAAATATATCTTTTTGAGTGGCATCATTGGTGTACAACAGGCAGCCCTCATTATGTATGCAAATAACACGAGGAGCAGAGTTGTAACATGTCCAGTGGAAAATGCTGCTGAAACATATGTGAGATGCTGATTGGTAAAATAACAGACTTTGGATCTTTGCTGAAATGCCATTGTTGTCATGCATTCTCTTGGAGAGATATTCTGTAATGAAAGCAAATGCTTATTGCTTCATTTAGACTACTTGGTCTATCAGCATGTAGCAAGCCAATACTTATTCAAAGAAGCAAAAGCCTCTATCATTTATGGAATAAACTAAACTATTATTGTAATGATACAGAACCTCTCACAAGTAGGTCATTCTATACATTTAGGGTCCAAAGTCGGACATTTTTACTGTCCCTGTAACCTCTGAATTTATATATTTTGCCATTCAAGTGGCTTAAAAGTGACTTCAAACGAATTAATATTTGTTGGGTAGGTCATTTGATTCACAGAAGCATTCTTGGAGGAAGAGTACACACATAAAGGAGTGCATCTTCAATTACAAAATCGTAGATGCCAGACGTATAGGGACAGGAAAAAGTGAACCCCAAATTCATAGAATGTTGCAAATCTTCTATAATAAATAGTATTTTAAAAATCACATTTAAGAAAGGCAAACAAACTAGATTTTAATTTACAAATGTTAATCCATCATACTAAACCACATTTACAAACATACATGTATCATTGCAGTAGAATGCACAAGGTTTTCATTTCAACGTGGTTGTAACAGAGATGAAACTTTTCCGATTTTAATCGGAAATCCGACTTTTTGAATTTTCCAACGAAATTTCCAATTTTTTTACAGTGTGTCCCACAAAATTTGATTTTGTAACAATTTTTTTCACAAAATGTCATTTTATTTCAATCATAATTTCGAAGAAAAGTCGATGAAAAGTCGATGGAAATGGCACATTTAAATCATCGCGAACGTAGTTTTAATTTCTTTCACCAGTCGTTATTGGGTGTTTCAACGGTAGAAACACAGGGCATAACACTGATCGGAGCCTTCTCCGGCTGGACAAAAGGTTAAACATTGACAGGCGACATGGAAAAATCACCGTGTCGCACGTGCGTGCGAATATATGCAATGGTACCGGTGTACGTACCGCACCATACCGTCTGCTAGCACATGGCGGGTCGGGAACCGGTGGCCTTGTGAACGATCCAGTGGATAAAATCATTATGTTGTGCGATTTTCTGAGGTTTCAGATTTAGTTGTACAAAATGCAATGCTTTAAAAATCGTGATGATTATCTCAAGGATAGCGAAGAGAGCATTAGCGAAACATTTCACTGGCATTTGTTGGACGAGAAAGACGATAATGCCTGATTTTTCCCCACGTAAGAATGCAAGTGGAGTAGTGGAGTTGTGTGGTTGAATCATGGACATGATTGAAGCACCATGAACGGTGCCCTTGTCTTTCGGACTTTTCCCTCGACTTTTTCAAGTAAGAAGTGAACTTCTTTATTGATGACTCCATTACTCTAACCGTTATTCAGGCATTTTATGCAATGAAAACACTGACCATTTTTTTTTCATCGTAAAATTGTTGTTTGAATCGAAACTAAAGCAGGAGTTGGTGTCCGGAAATTGGGCATGAAGTGTATTGTACATGCATGTACATGTGTAACTGCAGTGCGGCCCAGATTTCGGACACGTATTTTGTTCGGCCTATTTTCCGATTTTTTTGCCATTTGCGAGTTTCATCTCTGTTGTAAATGTAATGAAACTTATATTAATTTGATAAGGCACTCAGAAAGCCCTGTGAAAGAGCCAACCAAGGGATGGCATATGATCTACTTTTAAACTATCCCTTCAGTTCAAAATCACACATATTTCATCCAGTTGCTTTTGAGTATTTACTTTTGTCTAAGGAAATGTTTACATTTTATACAGGAGTAGGGTTATATCTAATACTTAGAAACACATCATGCATTGACTTTGCATTTGCTGAGACTAATCTGAGAAAATTGAATTGCCTTTCGTGGTAATACTTTCCCTCTCGTTTGTAATATTTTTAAAATGTACACTCTGCCCTATTTGCAAACAATGTGAAGGGTCATTCCTTTACTATCATTATTGGGCCACCAGATCGTATAGGGACAGGAAAAAGTGGACCCAAAATTTATAGAATATTCCACATGCATATTATATTGTAGTATTCAATAAACTCACATTTAAGAAAGGCAACAAACAAGATTTCAATTTACAAATGTACACTAGTCACATCCATGTATCATTGTAAGAATGCACAAGGTTTTCATTTTCAACTTGGTTGTAAATGTAATGAAACTGATATTAATTTGATGAGGCACTCAGAAAGCACTGTGAAAGAGACAACCAAGGGATGATTTACTTTGAAACTATTGCTTGAGTTCAAAATCACACATTTTATCCAGTTGCTTTTAAGTATTTACTGTTGTCTCGTGTTCAAAAGGTGCAAAATCTTTCTCATTCAAAAGTAAGTTGCATTCATTTAAACTCAACAATTTTCCCAATAATTGAAAAATTGAATAACAAAATTTAAGGAAATGTTTACATATTATACAGGAGTGGGGTTACATGTTTATCTTATACTTGGAAAACACGTCATGTATTGTTTTTGCATTTGTTGAGACGAATCTGAGAAAATTGAATTGCCCTCTAGTGGTGATACTTTCCCTCTCATTTGTAATGTTTTTTTTAAATGCGCAATCTGCCCTATTTGTAAACAATTTGAAGGTTCATTCCTTTGCTCTCATTATTGGGCCAACAGATCTAAGATTTTATAGAAAGTAGGCTGGGTGTTGAAGTCCAAGATTTTCCAAAATGGAAGTGGTTGAGGTATTAGAGTCAACACATACAGAGACCAAAGACCTTAGAAATAAACCAAATATACAGTATTGAAGAATGTTGTTTAAGGGAATGAACTTTAAAGTTCTTTGTCAATGATAACAATGTTCAATGTCTGATGGAAGTGGTTGGTGGATACACTGGATAGCCCCAGTTTAATTAATCTGTCCTTACACTCGGTGATAGACCTGTACAGACTCTCCTGCAGCCACTACCAGATCACCCTCTGGTGTGAATGTGATGCCATATGGATTACTACATCCCTTGATCACACATCCAATGTACTTGCCATCAGGACTGTAATGCAGAATATCGCCTGTTGGATGTCCGCACACAGCAACATAGATGCTGCCATCACTGTCACAGCACACACCAGTAGGGTACCAACCCCAGCCGGGCATGTTGCTGGTCATGTCAACTGAGAATACACTGGCACCATAGTAGTCTACACATACCAACCTTTTCTTGTAGGATATTGTGTAGATTAGGCGGTGATTGTACATTGTCAGATAATCCTCTATCATTGGAGCAGGCAGTCTCCTGATGAGGGATCCATCTGAGTTGTGTAGAGATATCTCATCCTTGCTTCTGTAACCCACTGCTATCAGATTGCTATCATCCACTGCAAGGCATGTTGGTTGGCTGTCTGACCCTCTACCTGGTGTGAATTTTTGATGGAGGAGCAGATGTTGCTTGTTGAAGACCTTGACTAATGCACCATCTAGAGCAAGGAGTGTGTCATCCTTGCTCACTGCAATGCACCTTAGATCATTTTTGAGTCCAAATGTCTGTAGCCTTTGTGGGATAGGAGATGGTTCCTGATGACTTTTGGGAATTGAAACTGTGAATATTGCATGTTCATTTTGCATACCCCATGGGGATGTAGGGTCAATAATTGCATTAGATAGTGCAAGTATTTTATTGCTAGAGAGTGCTGCAACATGTGATATAGATGTGTGTCTTAATCCAAAGTTCTTGACATCAGTCTTCAGTTCCCATTTCTCCTTCATATATGATCTTTCAGGTCTTGGTGATTGCTTTGCTGCAGCCTGTGGCTCTTCCTCCAGAATGAGTCTCCCAAGTGACCTCTCACCTTCCTCAAAGTCCATGAAGGTCAACTTGTCAGGAACTTGCTGTGGCTGTTTCCCTGTCAATTCACTGAGGTTATGCAAGAGCTTCTGTTGAAGTTCAAGAATCTCATAGCAACTTGCTTGATTCATGAGTTGTTTGACCTCCTCCAGCTTGTGCTCTGTCTGTGTTACCTCTTTCCTGTTGGTTGCTTGAACAGCTTCAAAAGCTATGGTTTTGTCTTTATAAATTGTGTCTGTCTCTTTCAACAATTTCTGTTCTTCCTTTTGGATCTTTGTAATCTCCTTTTGGATCTTTGCAACCTCCTGTTGGAGCTTAGCAATCTCCTGTTGAGCCTTTTTGGAGATTTTCTTTTGAGTGTTGGCAAACATGGCGTCCAGCTCCTCGCGAGATTTGGACGTCTCCTTGATGGTAGTGCTCAATTGTGTTTTTCTTCTTTCACTTTTCTGGACCATTTCTGTGACCTTCTTCTTACATTTCTCTGCCGCCTCAGGTAATCCAGTGAGTGAGTGTTTTGCATGATCAAGTACCGAGCAAGTTGTGCAAATGACTTGCTGGCATGTGTTGCAGTAGACATTGAGATTCTGATCTGGATGCTTGCCACATTTAGGAACTTCTTCTCTTAGTTTACTCTTGTAGACAATCTCTCCTGATTGAAATTGAGCCAGTGTATAGATTTTATGAGATTTCATGACAGCCATACGTCCATGAGCCTTTTGACATTCTTCACACAGGAAATTATCACAGTCCATGCATCTCGAAACTGCCTGATTCTCCTCATCACAGTTTTGACATTTAATTTTTGACCCTTGACCTTCCAGTAGGTTTTCCTGCATTGTAACTTCCTCCACCAGGGCACTGAATGCAAAGTTATTCGGGAGATCAGCAACCCCAGACCCTTTCAACATGGTTTCACGTCTGCACAGAGGACATGTCAGCTTTGTACCACTAGGATCTTGGCTCTGTCTGAGGTCGTGGAGGCATTGCAGGCAAAAACTATGCAAACAGTCCAGCAGTTTGGGCTGCCTGAAACGGTTGGTGCAGATGGAGCATTCCAGATGATCCACACTAATCTTCTCTAACACTGATTGGGCTGTAACTCTAAATGCCATCTTGACTTCTTGAAGAATCAAGTGTTGTTTTTAACCTAAGAAAATGGATAAAAGTGTCAAAGGTTCACTTCAATCTATAAAATGATCCTATTACTCATCTCAAACATTGTCAACATGTTTTGTTTTCTCAGTTCTTGGGTTTACGTAATATGTAATTAATTTAAAACATTGACATAACTCCAATGTGCAGGGAGGCACTTGCGATTGGTGGCCCCACTGTTTAACCATGGGCGTGGCGAAGGGGGGGGGCAAGGAGTCACTTGCCCCCCCCCCCCCCCCTCGGAAATCGGGGGGGGGGGGGGAATGGAAAAAGGAGAAAAAAAGGAAAAAAGAGGTACGAAGCCATATTGCTGTTAATTTGATGGGGGAGGGCAAATGCTCCCCTTCTCACGCTCGGAAAAGTGATAAATTGAGAATATAATGAAAAAGTTGAGGAATTTTGGGGAAAAATTTGCTTCGCCCCCCCCCCCCCCCCTTCCCCACAGAAAAAAAATCCTTGCGACGCCCAGGTCTTTAACCCCCAAAATTGTTTTTAGCCCCCCAAAATTTTACCCTTAGTTATTCCCCTGAATTAATAGGAAAAAAGTGGAGGTAAAATGATTTTTGGCCATTTTAGTTACAGTTAGGTTTATTAGCACAAAGTAGCATGATGTTCATCACAGCTCCTGGTTTAAAATGTTCAACAATTTTAATTCATTTCAACGTACCTACACAGTTCCCCAACTGTTTAGTCTATTTGAAAGTTTGAAACAAAGAGCCATATCTGCTATGAATAATATTTGTTTGCTATTGCCAGGGTTTGCAGCATTGCGAATGTGAGTTTGGGCATGATCCCTGGCTACATGGCATCAATCTACCCACGACTTCTGACTAGTGCCCCTTGAGCAAAGACAATTTCAAATTGGGGAACCGCCACCATAGGGCTGGTCCGGGATAATGCTCAGTTAGTAGAGTGTCAGTACAGTAATCTGCAGGTCATAGGTTTCAAACTCCACTTTATCAAGTTCTTTGTTCAACTTTTGAACTATCATTTCAGGTTCAAATGTAGGATCAAGGATAGTTTTAGTCCTCTCAAGGTAGACTGAACACAAAGTGTTTGTGCAGATCTAAGAGTATTATGCATTCGAGCATTGACTCTCTCTTTGGTAAGATCAATGCTGCACAAACTGGCATATTGTTCCATGATTCTTAACAAATGTCATTAAATACGTGAACAACATAAAATACACTTACCTGAATTAAAGTTAGTTTTAGAAAGAAATTCAAACTTATCCTTCTGAAAGATGACGCAGTATCTGTAGTTTACACAGTTTGATGTGAATGCAATACATTGTACATGAACATGAATGTTGAACTATCATTACACACAGTGCGTAAATTCCCAGTTCTATTTTAAGAAGCTGTTGGAGTCCGTGTATACATGAACTGTACCGGATACTTTCTGCTCACATCCGGTGCAGGTTTCCTGTGTAGAAATATCAGTCAGTGTTTCCATGACCCCGGTGACCCCACAAAAATGGAATCAGAAGACAAATGCTATTTGAGCAGTAATCAGCCCTGGTGATTTTCAAATTTCAGCCTGAAAATAATGTTTTAGTGTTAATTTAGTTTTGTTCTACAGCAATCTATTTGCTCACTTGGGTTGAAAAACAAATGGAGAATTTTTTTCTTTAAATTCCTGTTGAATAAAATATATTTTGTTTAATATATTTTTTTCCATTGCATTTCGCCACCACCCAAAAAAGAGGGGAAATAAATAGTAAAAAAATTTTGTGGTAAAATAGGTTGCTATTAAAAAAAATAGGACGCCATTTAAATAAAAATAGTATCCAAACAAGGGTTACAACTTAATATACACGTACATGTAAAGCATAGAAATCCATATGGCAGATGATCTCTCATGTTGGAAATGTGCACACATGGCGGTAATGCACAGTCATTTGCCTACATTTGATAAATGAGCATTTTTTAGCAGTCCTTTACATACATGAAATAAGCAAAAAATACAACTGAATAAATTTTAGAAAGGATAATTGAAATAAAATAGACGAAAAATAGTATGCAGTTTGAAAAATAGATTTTTTTACCAATTATCTAGCAGGAAAAAAGGGTAAAAACCTAATTTAAATAGAAATTAAATAGGATTTTGCCAGATTAACATCCAGATTCCTGCAAGAGTTAAATGAAGAAATCTGATGGGTTTATATATCTCCATCAACATCTGAAATACTGGACCTCTTCCATCGTGAGCTACACCTGAATGCACGCAAAATTTCCTAAGAAGTTGTATTTTCTGAATTTGAAATCTAGATGGATTTTGTTCACTTTATTTTTGCTATGGATGCTGAAAATATTGAAAGTGTTGAGGTTTTAATAAAAAACAGGGCTAACCTTATCGGACATCTGACATAAGCTAGTGGGTTTGGTGAGGTCTCAATCAGTGTGCAGGTTGAGTTTACACAATCGGTTGTTTCATCTGCATGCTTGTTTATGACACCACTCCAGACTGAATGTGGTCCCTGTACAAGATCCCTACATGAAGTTACCAAGGAGGAGGATTTTATCCAACAGAGGAATGACAAGGAGATTCTGATCCAGGAAAATGTTAAATTAGTCTTTGCCACTGTCAGCAGCAGCCTGATAATGTTGGCTAAATGTTTAAACATTCGAACAACATGAAATATGTACAAAACTGTTTACAAAAATTAACACGGATGACTATTTTTACAGTATTTTACCAGTGAAATTTGATGTTGTATTCTCCCCTCCCTTTCCCCAGGTCCTAGGCCCATGACCATGACGATTCTAGCTCCTGGGGTTCTGACACCAACATCCCCTCTAGAAGGACCAAGACCACATGGTCAGCGACGCTGAGATGTGACACATGACGCCCACCAGACCGGCTAAGGTTGGTGCTTATTGGGTCAGTCACTACCGAACACCATTACCACACTGCAAAAACAGATAGACAAGGAAGATCCTAAAAGGTATAAAGTAAAAGTTTGGCTCAGTGATATTTGGAGAACTCACAAATTTGAAAGTCTCCAAAAATAGCATGAATTTCGGTAGTGTACATAATTTCAAGTGAGGTTATGAGATCTTCCCATTTTCGTAACTGCAAAGCCGAATGTATCAGAATACAAGGGCTTTATTTCAACCTATTGTTACCGACAACAAACCAAATTTTGCACTCGATCAGCAATAGCTAAATGTATTACCAGACAGTTTTGTCAAAAATGTTTCGTTGAGTCAGTGATATGTGACTCACCAGTGACATGCCCCCGATGTCAAGTCTGAGTCACGAGTTGAGTCATGAGAGCCGAGTTTGAGTCATCATCCATTGTAACTTGAAGTTAAGTCTGAGAATTTGCAGCACAAGTCAAACTCAAGTCCGAGTCACAGACTCAGTTCTATATTTCTGCCATACTGGTGTATGGCTATGTTGTCCGTGCACTTACTGAAGAATGAATATGCAAACGATTAAATCAGCCAAAGATAACTTGATTTGTAATTGAATTCCGAGCTAGAGAGAGAAAAAGCAATGTAATTTGTTCACTTTGAAATGTAGGTGCTATATGATTTGTCAGTGGCAGTCAACTGTGAGGAAGCCAAGAAACCTGTCTGCAAAAATAAGAACAGATTCCCCAATGTACTTCCATGTACAGGTAAGTTAATTTGTAGAAATTACTAAGTGTTGCCTAAAGAGTGGCCTCTTGAGGCAAACGCTTGTTGCGCCCACCCACTGCATTGTGAATTGTTCTCAACTGTAGGCGGGATGGGTGCTAAGGTAGTCTATGTAATATCCCCTTGTAAAGTAAGGATCTATGATATCCGAGAGATTCGTCGATTATTATGCAAAACAAGACTGCGTCTAATTGACCTCGAGACCATTCAGCAGGCGCCTTCTATATTGGTTCTTAAACCCGTTGTCATGTACATCTAGTAAAACCTAGACACGACATCTATTATGCTTTTACGTTGTGAATTATGTTAGCAAATTAGGCTGTGTCACATGGGCTGTAACGATATGTTACGTGATGCTAAGGATGTGATGTTTACGTGTTCAATTAACGAAAACAATTACAAATCCGTTTGCCTATTTTCCAAAACATGTAGAATCAAACCTGAAATATGAAAAAAATAACCTTCATTTATGCAAGCTGCCTTTGACTTGTACATATATATATTTATTTCACAAATTAACAATGTTTTTAATCTCATTTAATCTACAAAGTATTAGAAGAACCGCACAACTTGATTACACTCTGGGTAGTTGAGTTTGTACAAATGTATGTTTTCAATAGCTGCCCGCTATAATCTTTTGGACCAATCATACACAATATAAACACTTTACTGTTTAGATGTTTTCAATGTCCCAGTGTTCCCCCTAAAATACTGTAAATCTGAGTGTGTCTTGACCTTTTCCACACAAGAAAACGCCGATGACATTCCATTTTCTTTGTATCCATCTTTTCAATAGAAACTACTATTCCAAAGTCTTTAAAAAAACAAAAGCCCATGAAAAATAAAATTATCCTTTTACTTTAATACAAAAACCTTCCAACCCTAGTTATGCCGCTGGTACCTTAAGAAAGTTCCAGATGCTGATTGGTAAAATAAGAGAGTTTAGATCATTGCTGAAATGCCATTGTTGTCATGGAAGCTGTGCTCTCTTGGAGAGATATTCTGTAATTAAAGCAAATGCTCATTGCTTCATTTAGACTACTTGGTCTATCAGCATTTAGCAAACCAATACTTATTCAAAGAATCAAAAGCCTCAATCATTTATGGAATAAACTAAACTATTATTGTACTGATACGGAACCTCTCACAAGTAGGTCATTCTATACATTTAGGGCCCAAAGTCGGACATTTTTCCTGTCCCTGCAACCTCCAACATTTATCATTTGCCATTCAAGTGCCATTGAAAATGACTTCAAACTAATTAATATTTGTTGAGTAGGTAGCATTCTTGGAGGAAAGAGTACACACATAAAGGAGTGCATCTTCAATTACAAAATCGTACATGTCAGACGTATAGAGACGGGAAAAAGTGGACCCCAAATTTATATAATCAATTTTATCGACTGAACGATAAAATATCTTACACGCAGCACGAATGGTTTTTATGTTTATTGATTTATTGGAGATCATGAATAATGCATTAATGAGCGGATTGGCTAGCCCAGCAGCAACGTGGTTAGACAGAGGCAAGGTGTGGGCTGTTGTCACGTGGAGAAGACCACTTCGTTGCAGTAACTGAATGTGGAAACATCGTTATAGCTATTCTCCTGTTCAGCTTCAAGTTATACTTCGAAATTTATCCGAAGTTGTCTTCGAATTTCTTAAAGTAGTTTCGTTGTCTGGTTGACGTTGGATCTCATTGAGTAACTTCCAAGAATGCCTAAATCCACCCGGTCATCAACTCCAGCAACTCCAGCTGCGAACAGGATGGATGCCGGCATTGGCAGGAGGCAGCGCGGGAGACCCCGTACACGGGCCACGCAGTCTGGGGTGAGGGCACGTCGTGTTCGGATTGACGATGTGCCGACGCCGGTGGTCAGAAGTCAGCACCCGGCGTTAGGACAACCGGAGCTGCCGATCGAACCTGCACCAGGACCGAGTGGATCTGAGAGCCAACAAGCAAGGCGGGGTGAGTCTGGGGTGTCATCTTTGCCTGCAATGAACATTAATCAGGCTTCTTTTTGCGAGCCAGCCACGATTGGCTCACTAGATAGTAGTAGTAATATTAATAGTTCTAGTAATTTTGCACGGGTTGACGGTTCCGTCTCCCAGCTTGGCGATTTTCGGCCTGTACCGGCCCCAGTCATGCCAGCACTTGAGCAGAATTTGTATAGGCCCGACCCGGTCTTTTCAGGCCAGGGCGAGGCTCTGTTAGGGTTTCAAGTACCCATTGGGGTTAAAGAGAAAATTTGGAGTGGGAAGTACATAGATCTTTCCTTACTTTTTCATGATCCGGCCGCGACTTCTCTGGTGCAACCAAGTGATAAAACATTAAAGTTAGCGCTTGAAAATGGGGCTATTGTTTGCAAGCCCGAGTCTCCTAAAAGGAAACTCGATACCATTGGCAAATGGCTCACTGCCTTTCACTCCTTTACGGCCATTTTTGCGGTGCGCCACCCTCTCTGGGTAGGAGAATTACTCAAGTACGCGGAGACGGTGAGGATGGCTGCCTCCCAATTTAGCGGCTTAGGATGGCGCGCGTATGACAAGCAGTTTCGTCTGCGCCAAGAAGCTAATCCGAGCCGTTCTTGGGGGGCCATTGACATGGAGTTGTGGGTTACGGTAGCAGCCGCTGCCGTACTCGCCAATTCCACTCCATCTGCACCACCTAGTTCTGGTGCCACTTTTGCACATCGTTCATCCAAAGGCGATGGTTTCTGCTTCGCCTTTAACCAGGCGAAGGGTTGCCACTGGGCGAATTGTGAATTCGCTCATAAGTGCACAAGTTGTAACCGTTTTGGCCATGGAGCGCTAACTTGCCGGGTAGGTTTTTTCGAGCCGAAACGGCAGCCCTCTTCAGGGATGACTTCTGCGCAGCACAAAACTGCTGGCGTAGCTAGTACTAGGAACCCCCCTCCAGCGGCTTCACAGGGGGCTAGAGCCAGAGAATCGCGTGCTGGAGCCATTTTTCGTTCTTCCAACCCCAATTAAATTTGACATTTTAACCGAATGGCTTTCCGTTTACCCCGATGTTAGAGCGGCGGAATTACTACGTGTAGGATTTTCTGATGGGTTTACTTTACATTACCAAGGTCCCCGTGTGTCGCGTGAGGCAAAATGCCTTTCCTCCGCCTCACAACAGCCCAAAATAGTCATTGAAAAGATCAATAAGGAAATTAGCTTAGGTCGCGTTGCGGGTCCCTTTGACAAACCCCCACTTCCCAATCTGCAGTGTTCCCCCATCGGCTTGGTGCCTAAACAACAGCCCAACTCCTTTCGACTTATTCACCACTTATCCTATCCCGAAGGAACATCTATCAATGATTACATACACAAAGACAAATGTGTCGTACATTATGCAACTTTTGATAGGGCAGTAGAATTAGTCATGGAGGCAGGACCCAACGCCTGGCTGGCAAAATCGGACATTAAGTCTGCATTCCGTTTACTCCCAGTAGCCCCATCTGACTATGAACTACTTGGGTTTACGTTTCAAGGGTTGTATTACTATGATAGATGTTTACCGATGGGCTGTTCCATATCTTGCTCTCTGTTCGAAACATTTAGCACTTTCCTTGAGTTCATGACCAAACAGATGGCCACCACATCGCTAATAACCCACTATTTGGACGACTTTCTTTTTGTTGGTCATTCTCTAAATGCATGTCATGATTCACTCCCAGCTTTTAAAGTGGTATGTGCGCGTTTGGGGGGACCAATTGCTGAAGAGAAAACAGCGGGCCCATCGCAAACAATTACTTATCTAGGCTTAGATATAGACTCTCACCAACAGCAGGTTAGAGTTCCTGAGTTAAAGGTGCAGGCTCTTCGCCAACAACTTTCTAAGGCACTGCGTCAATCTAAGCTAACATTGGTTGAAGTACAATCCCTGGTAGGCTCCCTTAACTTTGTGTGTAAAGCGGTCGCTCCGGGACGTGCATTTCTGCGGCGACTCATCGCTTTAACCCGGGGTTTATCTCAGCCGCATCACAAGGTGCGCCTTAATCATGGGGCTAAAATGGACCTCATGATGTGGCTTTATTTCCTTGACCATTTTAATGGGGTTTCTCCGTTTCTGACTAATGGCTGGGAGTCAAATGACACACTTGAGCTTTACACAGATGCCGCCGGTAGTATAGGGTACGGGGCGTACTTCCAAGGGAAGTGGTTTCAAGGGAGATGGCCCGAATCGATAGGTCAGTCACCTCTGTCGATAGCATACTTAGAATTCTATCCTTTGGTCGTAGCTGTTTATTGCTGGGGGTCATTTCTCGCAAATCGCAAAGTCATATTCCGCACTGACAACAGCGCTGTAGTTCATATTATTAACAAGCAATCGTCGCGATGTGACAAACTTATGCAGCTAGTCCGTTCATTCGTCTGTCAGTGTCTATGCCATAATATTTCTTTCAAGGCGGTCCATGTTCCCGGTCGATTCAATGTTATTGCTGACTCTCTATCACGTTTCCAGATGGATCGTTTTCGACAGGCCGCGCCGAGTGCGGAATTGTTTATGACGCCTCTTCCCGTTTTCCATCTCAGTCAGTAACCGACATTTTTTATCGCCTTATTATCGCCCAATTATCGACAAGTGTCGGTCGGATTGAAAATATTTCTAAATTTTCCTACACACCTATCTCCCAATGTTTTACCAGAGACGTTGGAGTCAATTGTGAATTTATTGTATATTTTTCACTACTGGGTCTACATAGGCTCTTCTACTATAGCAAATTATCCATCAGTTGTGGGCTATTTTCCAAAGTAAATAATTTCCAGACCCAACTACAGATTTCTTGTATCTGTCCCGTGCGGACACGTTTATTGCATTACGACCGCAACTTTCAGGGTCCCTAACTGCAATTCCAAATTATCGGTCGTTGGCGTTTGGATGTGGTCAACACCTATACCTGTACAACAATTCCGCTGTGTCATTTTCCTGGCGTAACTGCATGGTCATGCCGCGAACATTTCTATTTTAATTTTATCACTATGTACAGATACAGTTTGGATCGTGGGTGATTCTATTATTCGCAGAGCTCAGACGAACATGGATTGCGAGGCACAAATTCACTGGATGGGAAAAGGTGGGGCAGGGATAGGCAATTTTCTCCCACTGTTAAGCCGCCTTGATGCTTTGGCTCATGGCGTGGCTCCTACTGTCGTAGTAATACACCTAGGCACTAATGACCTTGTTTCCATTGATACTTTTTGTATGCGCCAGCGTATTAGGTTACTCATGGAAGAGTTCAGGACTCGTTATCCATCTGTCTGCCTGGTTTGGTCCGATATTCTACCAAGGCTCTTTTATTACGGCGCACAGTCCAATGCCAGTATCAATAAAAAACGGCTCACATTGAATAAATGGGCCAGGGCTATGGCTTACAGACTGAATGCGTACATTTTCCATCATCCTCAGTTTGAGTCATGTCCTTCTCAGCTTTTCCACTTTGATGGAGTTAATTTGTCCCCGGAAGGTACTCGGTTATTTAGGGACAACCTGCAGTCTTGCATAATTGGTCTTTTGCGTAGTTTTTACTATTAAAGGTGACTACATTGTCATTTCCCTGGACTGCTCGCTTTGGGGTGGCTGTCCTTCGTCCCTTGGGCCGCGCCCTAGTGCGCGGGTGGCGCGACTGTGGTCGTGGGACAGGGTTCGGCAAGCCATATTCCAGGGTCGCTGAGCCTGTCCAGTGAAATGTGTTGACATTGATTTATAATCGTTTAATTCCAAACCTTTACAACAATAACCCAGCCTGTGCCGGCTAGGGTTTGCTTCCACGAAGTCGGTTCCGACCGCGAAGCATTCAAGTTATTTATGCCAGCGAACTTTGTGTTTCAATTAAGGCAATTACTTTAAAAGTTTCTACAAGTGTCCTATCAATTTCGGAGCAATTTAGAAGGGGCGTGGATATACCACAGGTGGTTTTCGGAGTGGGGGACCGTTATTACCCCAGGTACGGTTTAAAGTGGATCCGGAGTGGGGGCCCGGTTATGTACCCCAGGTTCGGTGGGCCTGATCAACCCAATGGTTTGTAAGAGTCAGTTTGCCCAAAGGATTTCAGCAATGAAAGACTGGTATCTGGCCGTCTATTTATTTGGTGGTGCGTATGGTAAAACGGAAAACAAAACATGCTTTGATTTGGCATGAAGATTTAATAAACACATTCAGGCTGCGGCAAATCCAATATATTGGTTAATGATGTTTTGATTGTACATGTATTCGTGTCTGAGTGTAATGTTCCAAATGCATCTTATATTGTAGTATTTAAAAAAATCACATTTAAGAAGGGCGAAAAAAGAGAATAAAATTCAGTTTACAAATGTACATCCATCATACTAACCACATTTACAAACATCCATGTATCATTTCAGTAGAATGCACAAGGTTTTCATTTCCAACTTGGTTGTCAATGTAATGAAACTAATATCAATTTGATGAGACACTCAGAAAGCACTGTGAAAGAGACAACCAAGGGATTGCATGTAACTTACTATTCAACTCTCGCTTATAGTTCAAAATCACACACATTTCATTCAGTTGCTTTTGAGTATTTATTCTGGTTTTTGTACGCGGAGTTGGAAAATCTGTCTCATTCAAAAGTAAGTTGCATTAATTTAAACTCAACAATTTTCCCAATGTAATTGAAGAATCGAATAACAAAATTTAAATAATGTTTACATTTTACGCAGTAGCAGGGTTATATCTTATACTTGGAAAACACATCATACATTTACTTTGTATTTGCTGAGATGAATCTGAGAAAATTGAATTGCCTCTTGTGGTAATACTTTGCCTCTCGTTTGTTATATTTTTAAAATGTGCACTCATCCCTATTTGAAAACATAGTGAAGGTTCATTCGTTTGCTCTCATTATTGGGCCACCAGATCTAGGATTTCATAGGAAGTAGGCTGGGTGTTGAAGTCCAAGATTGTCCAAAGGGGAAGTGGTTGAGGTATGAGAGTCAACACATACAGAGACCAAAGACCTTAGCAATAAACCAAATATACAGTATTGTAGAATGTTGTTTAGGGAATGAACTTTAAAGTTCTTTGTCAGTGATAACAATGCTCGATGTCTGATGGAAGTGGTTGGTGGATACCTGGATAGCCCCAGTTGAACTAATCTGTCCTTACACTCGGTGATAGACCTGTACAGAATCTCCTGCAGCCACTACCAGCTCACCACCTGATGTAAATGTCATGCCACGTGGATCATCACATCCCTTGATCACCCATCCAATGTACTTGCCATCAGGACTGTAATGCAGAATGTCACCTGTTGGATATCCATACACAACAACATAGATGCTGCCATCACTGTCACAGCACACACCATCAGGGTGCCAATTACCCCCCTGTATGTTGCTGGTCATGTCTACTGAGAATACACTGGCACCATAGTAGTCTACACATACCAACCTTTTCTTGCCATAGTTTGTGTAGATAAGGCGGTGATTGTACATTGTCAGATAACCTCCAATCATTGGAGCAGGCAGTCTCCTGATGAGGGATCCATCTGGGTTGTGTAGAGATATCTCCTTCTTTTCTTTATAACCCACTGCTATCAGATTGCTGTCATCCACTGCAAGGCATGTTGGTTGGCTGTCTGACCCTCTACCTGGTGTGAACTGATGGAGGAGCTGATGTTGCTTGTTGAAGACCTTGACTACTTGACCATCTACAGCAAGGAGCTTGTCATCCCTGCTCACTGCAATACACCTTACATCATCAGTGAGGCCACTGATTTGTAGCCTTTGTGGGATAGGAGATGGTGTATGTTGACCATTGGGCATTGAAACTGTGAATAGTGCACTGATTCCAAAAAATCTACGGAGTGCAAGTATTTCATTGTTGGAGAGAGCTGAAACAAGCAATTTACATGAAAATATTGAATCAATTATCAATCCAATTTTTTTGAATTCAGTCTTCAATTTCCATTTCTCCTTAACACATGATCTTGCAGGTCTTGGTGATTGCTTTGCTGCAGCCTTTGGCTCTTCTTTCAGAATGAGTCTCCCAAGTGACCTCTCACCTTCTTCAAAATCCATGAAGGTCAACTTGTCAGGAACTTGCTGTGGCTGTTTCCCTGTCAATTCACTGAGGTTATGCAAGAGCTTCTGCTGAAGTTCAAGAATCTCGTAGCAACTTGCTTGATTCATGAGTTGTTTGACCTCCTCCAGCTTGTGCTCTGTCTGTGTCACCTCTTTCCTGTTGGTTGCTTGAACAGCTTCAAAAGCTTTGAGTTTGTCTTTATAAATCATGTCTGTCTCTTTTAACAGTTTCTTTTCTTCCTTTTGGATCTTTGTTATCTCCTTTTGGATCTTTGCAACCTCCTGTTTGAGCTTTGTAATCTCCTGTTGGAGCTTTGTAATCTTCTGTTGAGCCTTTTTGGAGATTTTCTTTTGAGTTTTGGCAAACATGGTTTCCAGCTCTTTGCAAGATTTGCATGTGTCTTCTATGGTGGTGCCCAATTCTGTTTTTCTTCTCTCACTTTTTCGGACCATTTCTGTGACCTTCTTCTCACATTTTTCTACTGCCTCAGGTAATCCAGTGAGTGTGTGTTTTGCATGATCAAGCACAGAGCAAGTTGTGCATATGACTTGCTGGCATGTGTTGCAGTAGACATTGAGATTCTGATCTGGATGCTTGCCACATTTGGGAACTTCTTCTCTTAGTTTACTCTTGTAGACAATCTCTCCTGATTGAAATTGAGCCAGTGTATAGATTTTATGAGATTTCATGACAGCCATACGTGCATGTGCCTTTTGACATTCTTCACACAGGAAATTATCACAGTCCATGCATCTCGAAACTGCCTGATTCTCCTCATCACAGTTTTGACATTTAATTTTTGACCCTTGACCTTCCAGTAGCTTTTCCTGCATTGTAACTTCCTCCACCAGGGCACTGAATGCAAAGTTATTAGGGAGATCAGCAACCCCAGACCCTTTCAACATGGTTTCATGTGTGCACAGAGGACATGTCAGCTTTGTACCACTAGGATCTTGGCTCTGTCTGAGGTCGTGGAGGCATTGTAGGCAAAAACTATGCAAACAGTCCAGCAGTTTGGGCTGCCTGAAACGGTTGGTGCAGATGGAGCATTCCAGATGATCCACACTAACCTTCTCCAAGTCTGATTGAGCTGTAACACTAGATGCCATCTTGACTTCTTGAAGAACCAAGTGTTGTTTTTAACCTAAGAAAATGGATAAAAGTGTCAAAGGTTCACTTCAATCTATAAAATGATCCTATTAATCATCTCAAACATTGTCAACATGTTTTGTTTTCTCAGTTCTTGGGTTTACGTAATATGTAAGTAATTCAAAACATTGACATAACTCCAATGTGCAGGGAGGCACTTGCGATTGGTGGCCCCACTGTTTAACCATGGGTGAAAAAAAGGAAAAAAGAGGTGCGAAGCCATATTGCTGTTAATTTGATGGGGGAGGGCAAATGCTCCCCTACTCATGTTCGGAAAAATGATAAATTGAGAAGATAAAGAAAAAGTTGAGGAATTTTTGGGGAAAATTTGCTTTGCCCCCCCCCCCCCCCCCCCACGGAAAAAAAATCCTGGCGACGCCCAGGTCTTTAACCCCCCCAAAATTGTTTTTAGCCCCCCAAAATTTTACCCTTAGTTATTCCCCTGAATTAATAGACAAAAGTGGAGGTAAAATGATTTTTGGCCATTTTAGTTACAATTAGGTTTATTAGCACAAATTAGCATTATGTTCATCACAGCTCCTGGTTTAAAATGTTCAACAATTTTAATTCATTTCAACGTACCTACATAGTTTCCCAAATGTTTAGTTTATTTTATAGTTTGAAACAAAGAGCCATATCTGCTATGAATAATATTTGTTTGCTATTGCCAGGGTTTGCACCATTGCGAATGTGAGTTTGGGCATGATCCCTGGCTACATGGCTTCAACCTATCCACGACTTCTGACTAGTGCCCCTTGAACAAAGACAATTTCAAATTGAGGAACCGCCACCATAGGGCTGGTCCGCGATAGCTCAGTTAGTAGAGTGTCAGTATGGTAAACTGCAGGTCATATAGGTTCAAACTCCACTTTATCAAGTTCTTTGTTCAACTTTTGAACTTTCATTTGAGATTCAAATGTAGGATCGAGGATATTTTAAGTCCTCTCTAGGTAGACTGAACACAAAGTGTTTGTGCAGATCTAAGAGTATTATGCATTCGAGCATTGACTCTCTCTTTGGTGAGATCAGTGCTGCACAAACTGGCATATTATTCCATGATTCTTAACAAATGTCATTAATTAAATACGTGAACAACATGAAATACACTTACCTGAATTGAAGTTAGTTTTAGAAAGAAATTCAAACTTATCCTTCTGAAAGATGTTGCAGTATCTGTAGTTTACACAGTTTGATGTGAATGCAATACACTGTACATGAACATGAATGTTGAACTATCATTACACACAGTGCGTAAATTCCCAGTTCTATTTTAAGAAGCTGTTGGAGTCCGTGTATACATGAACTGTACCGGATACTTTCTGCTCACATCCGGTGCAGGTTTCCTGTGTAGAGATATCAGTCAGTGTTTCCATGACCCCGGTGACCCCACAAAAATAGAATCAGAAGACAAATGCTATTTGTGCAGTAAGCAGCCCAGGTGATTTTCAAATTTCAGCCTGAAAATAATGTTTTAGTGTTAATTTAGTTTTGTTCTACAGCAATCTATTTGCTCACTTGGGTTGAAAAACAAAGGGAGATTTTTTTTCTTTAAATTCCTGTTGAATAAAATATATTTTGTTTAATCTATTTTTTTCCATTGCATTTCGCCACCACCCAAAAAAGAGGGGAAATAAATAGTAAAAAAATTTTGTGGTAAAATAGGTTGCTATTAAAAAAAATAGGATGCCATTTAAATAAAAATAGTATCCAAACAATGGTTACAACTTAATATACACGTACATGTAAAGCATAGAAATCCATATGGCAGATGATCTCTCATGTTGGAAATGTGCACACATGGTGGTAATGCACAATCATTTGCCTACATTTGATAAATGAGCATTTTTTTAGCAGTCCTTTACATACATGAAATAAGCAAAAAATACAACTGAATAAATTTTAGAAAGGATAATTGAAATAAAATAGACGAAAAATAGTATGCAGTTTGAAAAATAGAGTATTTTTACCAATTATCTAGCAGAAAAAAGGGTAAAAACCTAGTTTAAATAGAAATTAAATAGGATTTTGCCAGATTAACATCCAGATTCCTGCAAGAGTTAAATGAAGAAATCTGATGGGTTTATATATCTCCATCAACATCTGAAATACTGGACTTCTTCCATCGTGAGCTACACCTGAATGCATGCAAAATTTCCTAAGAAGTTGTATTTTCTGAATTAGAAATTTGAATGAATTCTTTCACTTTATTTTTGCTATGGATGCTGAAAATATTCAGAGTGTTGAGGTTTTATTAAAAAATAGGGCTAACCTTATCGGACATCTGACATAGGTAGTGGGTTTGGTGAGGTCTCAATCAGCATGCAGGTTGAGTTTACGCAATCGGTCGTTTCATCTGCATGCTTGTTGATGATGCCACTCCAGACTGTGTATGTGGTCCCTATACAAGATCTGTATATGAAGTCACTAAGGAGGATGATTTTATCCAACCGAAGAATGACAAGGAGATTCTGATCCAGGAGAATGTAAATTGAGTTCTTGGCATTGTCAGCAGCAGCCTGATAATGTTGGCTAAATGTTTAAACATTCAAACAACATGAAATATGTGCAAAACTGTTTACAAAAATAACCATGGGTGACTATAGTTTCAGTATTTTATCAGTGAAATTTGATGTTGTATTCTCCCCCTCCCATTTCCCCAGGTCCTAGGCTCATGGTGAGACGATTCTAGCTCCTGGGGTTCTGACACCAACACCCCCTCTAGAAGGACCAAGACCGTGTGGTCAGCAACGCTGATATGTGACACATGACGCTCACCAGACCGGCTAAGGTTGGTGCTTATTGGGTCAGTCACTACTGAACACCATTACCACACTGCAAAAACAGATAGACAAGCAAGACCCTGTGGAGAAATCCCAGGTGACTTTGGGGTAAAAGTTTGACTCAGTGATGTTTCAAGAACTCAGGACTTTAAATGTCAAAAAAAAAGTGCAAGAATTTCTGTAGGCTATAGAATTTCAAATGAGGTTATCAGATCTTCCCCTTTTTGTATCTGCAAAACACAATGTATCAGAATACAAGGGCTTTATTTCAACCAATTGTTACTGACAACAAACAAAATTTTGCACTCGATCAGCAATAGCTAAATGTATTAATAGACAGTTTTGCCAAAAATGTTTCGTTGAGTCAGTGAAATGTGACTAACCAGTGACATGTCCCGATGTCAAGTCTGAGTCATGAGTTGAGTCATGAGAGCCGAGTTTGAGTCATCAGCCATTGTAACTTGAAGTTGAGTCTGAGAATTTGCAGCGTAAGTCAAACTCAAGTCCGAGTCACAGACTCGGTTCTATATTTCTGCCATACTGGTGTATGGCTATGTTGTCCATGCATTTGCTGAAGAATGAATATGCAAAATATTAAGTCAGCCAAAGATAACTTGATTTGTAATTGAAGTCCGAGCTCGAGAGAGAAAAAGCAATGTAATGTGTGTTGTCTGTCAATTTGTTCACTTTGAAATGTAGGTGCTATATGAAATGTCAGTGGCAGTCAACTGTGAGGAAGCCAAGAAACCTGTCTGCAAAAACAAGAACAGATTTCCCAATGTACTTCCATGTACAGGTAAGTTCATTTTGTAGAAGTTAGTATACTTAGACTGTTAAGTTGAAAAGTGGCCTCTTGAGGCAAACCCTTGTTGGCACACTCACACTGCATTGTGAATTGTTCTAAATTGTAGGGGGATGGGTGCTAAGGTAGTCTATGGAAAATCCCCTTGCACAGCAAAGGTCTATGATATGCGAGCAGATTCTGAGGTTAATTATGCAAAACAAGACTGTCTTGCCCTCGAGACCATTCAGAGGGCGCCTTTTATGTCGGGTCTTCTGTAATCCGTTAATTGTCATGTACATCTAATGAAACCTGGACACAACATCTATTATGTTGTAAACCGTGATAGCAAAAATAGTCAAGCGGACTGTATTGATATGTTACGTGATGCGCTAACGTCCTGTGACTTTGAATGCTCATCACTTAATGTTTTAAATGATGCCGGTAATGAGAATGCCCTCTTGTGTGTTCACATCATGCAATCATGCCCAGAATGAGCGTTCGCGTATGCTAACAGCTTTGAAAACAGTTTTGAAAACCAATGTCGGGTTTTATTACATCTATGCCCGCTGTATTTCAAAAACATGGCATCAGGAAATAACAATCAACAACTTAGTCCAGATTTCAGAATGAAATGACGTCATGCCGACTCATGACTGGCAAGCGGGGTCGCATACATTTGCATGCTTAGAGGTGTCAGACATTGGACCAGAGACAGAGAGGGTGATACAATGGGTGATACTCGGACTAGTGTTAAGGCTTCATTCCTACAAAACCATTTTGTATTTCAATTTTACTCAGAAAAGAGTGGACTGCAACATTAGGCAATGAAAGGGGTTTATACCATCCAAACCTGTTATTGGTTCGTAACTAGTTTGAATTGTAAATATGTAAGGGACTGTTAAACCTGATATGATGTTACATGTAGAATGCCATATTTCTGTGTACCTTTCAAAGGTGTAACTATGGGGCACGTGTCCCGTCCCCCCCCCCCCTCCATTTGAAGTCTTGAATTGCACACAACAAACATATATGTTACCTTCCTTGCCCCTGCCCCCCCCCCCCATAAAAAAAAAAACAATTGGTGAACCACCAGGTGCCTCCCTAGAAGCTTAACCCTAGTATCGCTGCTGGTACGTTTAGAAAATTCCAGATCATGTACGTTTCACTCCCATACAGTGTGTGATATTTATAATTTATCTATAGTTGCAGCGGGAACTTGACTGCGCCCTCAGCAACCATACTATGTCGGCCCTGGCATCCAGGGGATTCTCTTGTTAGATGTCAGGTGTCTTGTTAACTGTTTGACATGTGTAATGTAAAGAAATATTTACTTTAAATATTTTGTTTGTATTTAGCATGCCCTACAAATGCTATTGTTAGCAATTCGTTTCGGGTAAAAAAATCCAAGTGGTGGTTTTTTCCTTGTCACAAGCGGTTGCTAAGGTACCAAAATAATTCTGAGTTTGGCTTGTTCAGGACATTTGAAGTTTTCACGGGCAATAAAATACTTAACGTGAAACCCCACGAGGCAATCTTTAACATACAATAGATTTCTTTTGGCTACATTTTTTTGTTTTGAGAAAAATGAGCACTTTTAAAAGCTGA